ATATATTAGGAGGTTACATTAAAAGCTGCTGTTTTTTCTTTGTATTTGAGTAATAATTTCAATAACAAAACATATATGAATACCTCAATCGAAGTATTTTCCCTCGGAAGCTATGACTTTTTGCCACTTTTCAGGCAGAAGTTGATTTCCATGACGAAAGAATGGTTTCGGTTGACTTGTTCGTTGTTTGTCGTGAACGTCACTATCACCACTTTTGAATCGTCGAAACCAGTCTCTATATACTGTTTCTGATCCATCAGATTCACCATAAATTTCCGCAAGCAATCGATGAGTTTCAGCTGCACTTTTTTTCATATCAAAATAGTGTAGAAGTACACATCGGAAAAACGACTTATCGCGTTTCATTTTAATTCAGTTATAGAAAAGCACGTATGTAAACAATGATGGCGTCTGTTGACTGAATTTTAGTAGGAAATGTTCACACTTTAAAATGATATAAGTAGCAGATGTCTCTGACCATAGCATACGCAGCTACTGCTATCTAAATTAATGTGAACAGTGGCTTTTAATGCAATCCCCTAATACGAGCTCCATACTTTGCGGCTTCATGATCTCACCAAATTTAATTTTTATAATTAAGTACATCATCATATCTGTCACTTTCCTATTAATACAACCTTACTCTATCACTGCATGCAGACTCTATTATCAAACATTTATTTATTATATAATAAAACAAGGTTTGAAGACTAACCTCAATAAAATTCGACAACATACAATTTCAAAAATCTTTTTTTACAACTACTACGCGCATGATCTAATAATGAGTTTTCTACTAAAGATATTTCTATATAAGTAATAATAAGAGAGTTCATATAATATATAAAACCAACCATATACGTTTATTAGTTTAACAGAAATCCTGCTATCTCATATTAGGAACCTAATCCCATAATAGACGATTTTACCCTAATAGTTAATTCACTCACACTCACCCGCGCGCGCGCGCGATACATACACATACACACAAGATTTATACTTTAATAACTTCGATATTTTCTTTGTATCTTTAATAACACATACGTGTTACGAGAGCATCATTAATAAAACAACGGAAATTCCACGTTCTTATAGACCAGTAACATATGATTATGAGCCATTAATATAATCTTATCGGAACACTAATGTAATGGTACGATTTGCTTTTCAACTAATTACCTCTCATCCGTAATACACTAATTTATGATTACAGTAGTATTATATAAGCTACAAATTTTTGCATGCAAAGGAAAGGTTGCAAAGCAATTCTATTTAAAACGCCACATTTACAATTTATTTCAGAAATACTATTATTAATTTTTATTCACAACATTAATTAAAAATATCATTAATTATAAGTTCAACATTAATTAAAAATATCGTTAATTAAGTTCAAATTTTATAGTAATTTTAGATTTATTTAAAAGACTTTGAAGATTTATAAATAATTAGTTTTTAAGATTAATGCGTTGTCGCGCGTACATGTTAATTTTATACATTTTACTCTTTGAGCTTTGTTCTGTATAATATCCATTTATCGCATCACTAAGAGTCATATTACATAAGTCATAAGACATAATGAATATCTCTTTTATTGTGATATATATATAAGTCTTAAATCAATTGCAGATAATAAAATATAGAATAGAATAGAGAATAGAATTTTATTCTCTTTAGCATTTACAAAGCCAAGAAGGGGACTTGGTTTACAAAATTACTATACCACACATCCATCCATACCTTCACCGTATACAAAAATAAATAACTACTCACGCATCTCTAACTTTAACTCTAACTCTGTAGATAATAAAATATAGTAAGCATTGTTAAATAAGAAAACATAGATGAAAATTTATAGTTCTTTAAATGTTAAAAACAAAAAAAATCATTTTTATATAACACGTGTAAATATTTCGTTACGATTATACGACAATATAATATTAAAATATTTTTTAACGCATATACATAAATATATATATGTATAATGATATATAATAATAATTTTAATCTTTTAAAGGAAGATTGAATTTTATATTACATGGAATGAACGATTTCGTTAAAGTACCTCAAAATTTAATTAGTTTCAGATCTGAAAATAATTTTATTGAACTATCAAAATATAATTTCATAAGAATTTCAAACATAATGAATAATAACTGCAAAATATTTTGACATTCTAACAACTATTTTAAGCGTTCTGCACATAATTATTTTAATGACCCAACAAAATTATTTTCAGATCTACATATATCTAGCTAAATTTTTAGAGCCTTTCAAAACGAGAAGACCTTGTTTGCTTACAAATTGATTGCCTATAGCATCGTTTGACCACATCTCATTTGCCAATGATTCGTTTGTGCACAAAAATTATTATCTATGTATGTGTATTATTGCAAATATATATAACTAAGAGAAAAGCACACACAACACAACAAACTGCATATATAATATTATTGTCTACAAATCGATTGCCTTATACAAGCACAATTCTCTGCTTTAAAAACAAATTCTTTGCCTTAAAAATACAAGGTATTTTCACATTTAATTTAATCTTAATTTCATATTTGTGCGTAAAAATGCTTATCGATCAGGCAATCGATCAATAGGCAATAATATTTTTGCACAAACTGTCGGTAAATGTAATGTAGGCAAACGGAGCCCTCTCAACAAAATCGATCTTTCCGTGTAAATAAAGAAATATTAGATCTACAAATTAGTTCGGTCCGTTTTCCAAAAAATGATGGCCTCCAAAGACGAGTCATTTTTTCGAGATGAAATTCGAAAATTGTCTGAGAGATGGGAAAAAGTAGTAGCCAGCGATGGACAATACTTTAATTAATCTGTTCATTCATTTTATTTTGAAATAAATGCATTTTTGAACACAAAAACTCCTAATATGTTATAATATTTAGTATGATGGGTTGTAAAGATTAAGAAAAAATAATTATAATACAACAGAGATTATTGAAATTGAAATTTATTGTATTACGAAAAGCATATTTTATTCGTATTATACATACAGCGTAAACTACAGTAATGATTATGCTAATTCGGCATAATTATAGATACATACACATTTCGACGCATTTCATTTTACAAAAGTATGTTTATACTAACAATCGATTATGCTGTCAATTGATTATTGTTCGTTTCATTTCAGTAAAAATACATACATGTGCTGTAAGGATTGCTTTATCCATTTGAGCGTCGCAATTGCATCAATGCGTATTCATATTTGTAAATTGTTCATTCAAATTCTTAACTTTGGTGAGTTATAAGAAGATATACAAATAAGAACTTTGTAAATTGTGCTGTTTTCCTCTCCCGCGTCTTTAGAAGTTCTTCCTATCACTTAACGATTTAATATTAAAAAAATTAAAGATCCACGCTTGTGAAACGTAATAACAATTTATAAACAACAACAAATCAACTTAATAATTTAATAATTTGTTTCCGAAAATGTGTATAAAAATTTATTTTTGCATCAGTTTCTGATACAGATGTGTATAGAGTAGCGCGGAGAAAGTTTGTTTATCATTATTTGTTTAAGAAATATCTTTATGTACATTTGCTCACTATTATCTTCGACGTTAAAACCTAAGCACAACACAAGTCATTAAAATGACGTAAAATGATTAAAAGTCACTTTCAGTGACTCAACATTTCAATCATATTTGCCATACATTTTTATATCATTTTTACTTGATTATTTTATATTATTTTGATGTTATCGTGACTTTTTGTTCTGCTTAGGAATGTGATTGTGAATATTCACAAGCTTTTATAGGAGTGCGTAAATACTCATTTTGACAGTTCGATAGAACCGCCTTTCCCTTGTAAAGCTTCAAAAACATCTGATCTTCAATCATGTGTAAACTTAATCTGGCAAGATACATATACATTCGTGCGCTTATAAATCACTTCAGACGTTCGTCATTTTATCCGAACTTAATTTTAAGAACACAATTATTCACATTTGATCTTTCTTAACCTTTTCTTCTTTTTCTTTGCATCACGAAGCTCACAGCCATTGGATAGAACAAAGTGGTCGTTCGTGAAATTTATCATTAATTAAGGCTTCGTGTTTGTTCACAGAGTAGGCACAATTGAGGGCAATTAATAAGACCCTCTTGAGGATCACGCGCGAATTGATCCTTTCGTTTTGCCTTCGTTAAGCTGCACAATTTTGTGATAAGCATTTGAATTCTTTTTCTGAAAATTTTTCAAACGATTAAAGTATTTTAAAAAATTGCTTTGAATTCCTTTAAATATTACAATACTGAAAAATTTTTGAAAGCTTAAAAAATGAAAGTATTAAAACTTTCGAACTTCCAGAAATTCTTTCATTTCAAGTATTTGAAAATCTGGATGTGATTTACAAAAAGATGAAACTGTTTTGTTTGAAATGAGATGAAATTTTAAAAAAAGATGTATTTTTAAAGAGTTGTATGTTTAAAATTTTTTTAATATTTTGTTTCGACTAATATTCTAAACAATTCCAGATTTTTGGCGTGTATTCTAAATAATTGATAATATCTTAAATCACTGCACATTATGCTGACTTAACTTGAATTTAATGCTTAAATTTTAGTTGATGATAAATTCAAGATCAATTGCTTGATTGCGTTCTAACAAAAATATATATAGATACTCTCTAAAAATTCTTTGGAGTAAAATCTTATTTTTCGAAAAGTGAAAGAGCAGCTTTTAATCCTTAAAAGTGAGATTTTATTCTTCAGAGATTCACTCTAAAAGTTTTAGAGAGTATTGATACAGTAAAAAAGGGAAGATATAGTATAATTCGAATATACAGAGTGTCCAGTAAGTTTTGATAAAGCGCTTATATGTAAGTAGATTAAATCAAACTGATTGTGAGTCAAAAAGTCCTCTTTCGACTTTGTAAGCTAGCTACATATAAGTGCTTTGTCAAAATTTACTGAACATTCTATAAATGTATACGTGTACATACATAGTATAGTATGTATAGAATAGTACCTTGGACAAATATGTTGTAGTCGTACTACCAGCCGTCATCGTTATTAAATTAAGGATATAAATAAGTTACATTAATATTGGTACTATTATCAGCTAAACTTTAGCAACCCTAAAATGCGACAAAAGTAGACCATATTTCGTGATACTTTCGAAATGTACTAATGCCTTTTCGACAGTGAACAGTTATCTTCGCGAGAATTCTCATTGAGAAGTGCCGCGGAAATCTAATGTTCCTTGTATCTTGATTATTATTGTCGTGAGACGCTGGAACCGAGTGTTCGTATCGTCATTTTAAAATATCATTTACGAGATTTCCGATTACGAAAAATACGTCCGTTTTTGCCTGCACGATTCTACGCGATAAGTGGTAACAATTGTGTTAACTAGCACAACTTGCAACCACATCTAATTTTACAAGGTTTATATGTACATATTGATGGTCTATCGGGCGGTCTTAATTTTCCAACGCAGGAAGAGATATGCGGAAATTCTCAACACGACAAATATGAGCAGGAGAGCGAGAATATCCAAAGTAAAGTCAGCGTCAAGCATATCTAATTCCTCCAAGGTCGTCTCCGGATCCTTGAAATGGCAATATACCTAAAACGCACAAAAGTTCAGTAATCTGTCGCAGTCAACGATCAACATTGCGAATGCAGCGTTTAAACTTACCTGGAAACACTTCAGTTTCTCTCGGCCGTAACCGTAAATGGTCAAAGCAGTTCCCTCGAAACCGTATCTGATGTAACTGAGATATGTGATCCATCGTAGGTAGACCGGAATCGCGTCGAAACTGACGAAGAATCCTGAGAAGAGGAGGAAAGGTACTGACATCACCGGCGCGAGAAACACACCGTTCTGCACGTTCATCGCCGCGCCGACCATGAGACCTACTGATTGCGCAACAAAGGATATCAATAAACAGGTGCCCAAAAACATGAAAAACCGTGTTATATCCGCTGGCTGACTCGTTAGGAAGTACACGACGGTGACGTACAATACACAAAATACGGTCTGAAAAGTAAAAGGCAAGAGAATAATTATTTATTCGCCGTGCAACAACTGTATAGTTTCATTTCTGTCCTTATCCGATGAATCTTACCTGGAACGGTAGATCCGAAATGGTAATCGCGAAGTAATACGATTTGAGAGAGTACCATCTGTTGAAGTTTTCTTTTAAAAGTACAGGCAGTTCCAGCGGGACTGTAAATGAAAAAAGAAATAAATGGTTTTTATAGGAACAATGTATCAATAACAGTTGTTTCTCGCGGTCGCGAAATAATAAGCGTAAATTACCAGTGACTTACAGGACAGAATTGTGATTGTCATGGAAGTGTACATAAGGAACAACATATTGAAGAACAAGAAACCCAAATTACTAAGTACTTTGGCGCCGTCGTTTCCGATATCATAGTACAGTGCGCTGATTAGCCCCGCCACCAGAATGTGAGCGAAAAGTCGGAGATACATAAGAGTCTGTAAACATATTAGAGGAATATTAGAATTAAACGATATTTACAAATTTAGGGATACATTAGAGATGATGAATATTTCATAGATAGTCACGCAACATTAAAGCTGCGAATATCATACAACTCGCAAAGCCAAGTAATATCTTTCTTCAAACACCTACCCAATCTCTACGACTGAAAAGTAAGGCGCGCTTCAGAATTATGTAGAATTGCTTGAATTCGGATATGGGATATCTCTCAGGTGTGACTATTATGGATTCATCAAGTAGGGCTATGTTGGCGTTATCTTTCTTATCCAAATCCATTGGTATTGCCACATCCAATGCTAAAATAACAAATTTTAATACAATATTTATATTGCTTTACTATTGTAGCACTTTGCTATATATAATTTTACGAATTTGTCAACAGTCAATGCAGCTCTTTGTAATCATTACACAGTGTTCTAATTTCTTCAAAAAAATATTTGAAAAATACAATAGATACGAAAAAACATTTTAGATAAATGTTGTATAATTTCGAGGGGAATATAAGATGGTTTATTTGACTTTAAATGCTGTGCTAAGGTCGGAATAAGGTCATTTTAAATTGTTTAAATCCCCTATTTTTTATTACATAATTTTACCTCGAAAACTTTTCAAAATATTATAATAAAACATTTTTTTATATGTATAGTACTTCTCGAGTTACGAGGCTTGATTAAAATTTATAGTACTGTTGATATTAGCATATCCAAGGTGTAACATTATTACCTAATCGACAGCTAAAACTTTTCAAATATTGTACAGGGCCATGACAATATGTACATATGTCAAGATCAAAGTAATTGGAGATTGTCCTTCTTGTTGTTATTTTTAATGTAAAAGTGAAGAGAAGAGGAGCAACATCGCATTGTCTTGAAATATATCGTCAAATTTGTAACCTTGAACAACATTTGAAAGGTTTTAGCTATCGATTGGGTAATATCACTTTAGATAATGCTAATGCTGCTGGTAACTTTCAAGGCTTATAACTCTCGAGAGAAGTACAATACTTCATAACAAAAATATTTTATTATAGTGTTTTAAAAAACTCTCGAGGTAAGTTACAAGAATATTTAATTAAGGAAGGTTTTATTCAAAAAATTCAAAGTCATCTAGCCTTATCTTTGACAACATCACCCAAGATCAAACCAATGACACCATTTTATATCTCCTTCAAAGTTATAAAACTTTTGTCTGAAACGTTTCTCCGTATCTTTTATATTTTTCGAAATATTTGCCTGGAGAAATTAAAACGAAAAACGTTATGTTATATAAAACCCTTTGCAGTCTAAACTATTCTTTTAAATAAGCGAAGATCAAGTAGGAAATTCATTCTGACTTTCATCTAATCGGTTGATCTAAACATGAATCAAATAATTTTTCTTTATTAATTGAAGGAATTATGAAGATTTTAAAAATATAATTTGCTGATTATAATTGTATATAATATATAATATGTTGAATTCAACTCGACGTAAAACCACAATAGGTTAAAATCTCATAATTAAGAAAATATAAAATTGAATGTGAAAAAAGAACACACTCATATCACAGATGCTTGCAGCAATATTGCAATAACGTTGCAACGTTGTAGCAATGTTGTTGCAAGCTATACAGGCAGCACATTTAAAACGGTTTTTCTTTCCAAGAAACTAAAGCTTAACTCGCAATTACAAAAATTGTTATATATTATTAATTAATTATTATATTTTAATTATAATTATTCAGTTATATTAATTAAAGTTATTTATAAACAACTGAAAAAAGTCGCCAATCATTATCGAGATATAAAAAAATGTTACCTTGTTTAGCAATGTCGTTTGTAGCGTAGCCATGAATGAGTTTTCCATTACTAATTTCGCTCTTTTCTTCCGAGAACTTTTCCTGCAGATTACTGACATCGTTCTTGTCTTTAATCGTTTTCTTCGCTTTGTCCAAGTTATCACTGTTTTTTAAAATACCCGTCGCAGCAGTACAATTATTCATTCCCTCTTTCGTCTCAGGGAAGGGATGTCCTTCACGTATATCGTACTTGCCGTTGTTTATCGCGTTAATTAAATTCTTGATATTGTCGCCATATTCGCCGCATGATACCTCAATGACTATAAAGTAGATAAATAAAATAGATCATGTTATAAATGAGGTTGCGTGAAAAAGAAAATTATACTAATCTATTCTAAGTAGACTTTTTATAAAGACAACTTTGTCAAAATTACATATTTTCTTTACTTTATCTTTGTTTTAATATAATATGGTTATATTGAAATAATCTTATTTGAAAGTACTTACTAAACGATGCTGGGTTGTGATAGCTCGGACAATTGAGGCCAATTGTTCTTAGGAAAGGCACCAATTGTGATGTAGAACCTTGATAAACGCATTGACCTTCGGCTAATGTATAGAGAGCATCAAACATCTCGAAAAGTCTCGCACTAGGTTGATGAATTGTACAAATTATTGTTCTTCCGCCACGTGCTAAAGTCTTTAACAACGAGATGCATTGGAAACAAGACGAGGAGTCCAGACCACTGTAAAATACCGAATAAAATCAATCAGTATCGTTATAGTATACTTATACTTTCTTTTTCATTATATTAGCGTATTATTATACGGAGTGCGTCACCAAAATCCGGACAAATTTCAATTTAAATTTTCCGCTATATTATGCCTTCGCCAGAGGATGTTGTTGGCTTTCCGAGAAACCCTTCTAGTCATATTCTTAAAATGTTAAAACCAAGTGCGGAGTATAATCGAAGAGCTGCGATCATCGAAAGCCTTCGCGCTGGGCACTCAGCAATGGAAATAATTCGATTTTTTGAATATCCGAGATCAATCGTTTGTGACGTTGTGTGTGGCTAAATTTATGGCTTTAGAACAATCCAACGAAGGTTCCAGTATAGCGAGGAAGAGTCACAGGAAAAGTCGGAAGAACGCACCGCGAGGACCCCCGCAGTCATTGAAAAGGCTCAAGCGCTGATTTCGGATGACCCAGGAGAATCATTGCGAAAATTAATTAGCATCGATTATTGATGTAAGCGTGCCAACAATGGTTACGAGAATAGAGGCCGTCATTCAAGCTAATGGGGAATATATCGAATAATTATGCTCTATAGGGATCCCCCAAGTATCACGTAATAAAAGGATTTTTTGTAATATTTAATTTTTCATTAAAAAACATTTCGTTTAAAGAAATTGTTCGATTTGTACGGATTTTGGTGACGCACTTTGTACATATTTATGACAGAGTAATAAAAATAATAAAATTGTATTGGTATATACACAGTACTACATGTATATTATAAGTTTATATAAAATATTATTATAATATATATATTTTATACTTGTGTACAATATGAAAAAAGAGTAGAATTATATTAGTATATCTTTTTATCCACACGAAATATCTGTTATATACGCTAACAAAGAAGTATGATTGATATATATTTCTCTTTCTCCTCCAATATGATTAATTGTCGATTGTTAAGACAGTAACTTTTTTTATAAAGGAGGAGTTCTCGTACAGACCTTGAAAGAGTTGAAAAGACCAGTTTGTTTTACTTTTGTCGTCTTCTGCCATCACATAAAGGATATCGAGCGGTTCTTACAGAACCGGTTGAGGAATCAAAAATATCCTGAGGAGCGCGTGATGTTATACACGTAGACCAGGAAATCAAATTTAAACTTTTTGTTTTTTACAACATGAGTACGGAATTTTTTTTATACAACTTGTATCATTATACAAACACGACAAATTCCTTACAAAAATCTGTCACTGAAAAAGGACAGATTGGCATAGCATTTTTAATTGCTGCTATAATCAAAAATTGACTGCAAGAGCTAATCTTTTCTTTCAGTGTAAAATATTAAAAAACAGTAATTAATTATTTTAAGTGTTAAAAGCATGTTTTATATTCAGTACTTTTACTACTTCAAATATGTAATTACTGTGTTTCAGTAATAAAGTAGCCTTAGATTCCTATAAGGGATGAGTTGATTTATTAAAAATATCGCAGATAAATTCGTGGAATAAAATACGCCACTGTAAATGTAAAAATTTCGATATACTGTCTCTAGTTAGTGAAAGTCTCCACGAGAAAGAAACGTTTCAAAAAATCTAGCATCGTTTACTTTCTCCCGCTGCGCGTTATGCCCTTTTGTATTTCATTTCGATTCACGTGAGATATTTTAAATGTGCGATATTTATATATGTAATCTCTTTGTATCAGTACATGATTCAAGAGTGATAACAAGTAGACATTTAAAAAATTATTCTTAAGTTATTTTACTAAAAGTTATTTAATTTACGGTGACAAACTTTTTAAGATACAATATTCGTGTAAACATTTATCGTTATATATAGTTATATAGAAGATGCAGTCACCTCATTGCAAATCTGGAACGCGGCTGATCGTTGTATAGAGAGTTCCTTGAAAGTTGCAAAGAGAAATTCAACGTGAACTACATGATGCGGTCATTAAAATCTCAAAAAAAATTCACAATCTGATTTCCGTAATTTTATTAAAAATACAATTTCCTGGTGACATTGGCCGTGCCAAGATCGAGATTCGAAGATCAAGGAAATTATTAAGCAAAAGGCGGAGTTTCTCTTTCGTAAGTTTCAGAGAAAGCAAAAGAGATCGTTACTAGATTTCTTGTAGATTGACAGACGAGATCTATTCAACCAAATCTTTGAATACACTATTTAAGTACACACTTCTCTTTAGTTATTGTTTTCATTCTCATTGAGCAAGTCATATCATAACATTCGTCCTTCAATTAAAATTATTGTATATACCGAGAAAATTAAAATTACACGTCACTTACAAATAATAATTTGTTAATATATTGTAATTTCTGCTATCATAATATAATACACATACTTCTCTGTTAATTGTGAGTTAAATGTTGCAAACTTGTGTGGAGAATCAATTTTTAAATTTTTAAAAACATGGTTCTAAATAGATATAAGAGATTACAGATAATGAAATATGTATTTTTTATAAAATTTAAAACTTGCCTAGTTGGTTCGTCGAAAAACATTATAGGAGGATTGTTCACTAACTCCAGAGCAATGGAAAGCCTTTTCTTTTGACCGCCGCTCAGGTTCGAGGTCATAGTACGGCGGTGCTCAGACAAGCCGAGAGTTTCAAGGATTTCCTGGATCTGTAAAAGGATAGATAAATATGTCACTTAACAAATCGCCAATCAATAATACATAAAACTAGATACGCACTAATAAAAATTAAATTTTTATTAGCGCAATTAAAGAATAATGTTGACAATTAATTGAAATGGTACGGATTTTCTCAGAATGCCTTTTCTAACGCTGAAGTAGATGAAATAACAAATACAACGATGAATTTTTCTATTTTACTATAAGTATAATATTATATTTTTATATACGTAACATTTACGCATTTTATATTTACATACATACGAATAAACAATTATATTTAATCGTTATTATGCAAACGTGATTTGTCTAAAGCAAAAAATCAAATAAGAGAATTAGCTTACCACTTCTTCTTTCTCTGTTTGACTGACGTGTGAGCCGAGCTTAAGGCTTGCTGCAACCTTCATGGCTTCCGCTACCGTTAGATTCATATGAAGTTGATTATCCTGCATGATGTAGCAGGAGAGTTTTCTGAAGGCACTGAGGTTTCTTTCTTGGCCGTTTATTGTGATGCTGCCTTCTGCATTTGACGTCCTGATAAAAAGTTTCTAATGAATAATTTGATACGGAAAATAATTTTTATATGTTTGCTTGTAATAATACGTTGTAGCGATATTTCTACAAATATAAAGGATGGGAATTTACTTGCATATGTGTATCTCTCCCTTCATCATTTTTATTGTCCGAATATAAGTCTCTTATCTATTCTTACGACAGTATAATAAAACATTCGCTAAAAAGATTTAGGCCGATCATACACGTTCGTGACCGAAGATGCGTCATTAATAACTCATAAATTTTTTTATCCTGTCGCGTAGAAACTCAATGTTAAATCGCCATATGTGTGCGTATCGTAAAAAGATTCTCAATCATAGATGCGTAAAACGCGATATCTCGCACGTGTTGCCGCACCGGTTGACTGTGAAACCGGTTTGGAAAAGAAGCAAACAGGCAGCGAAACAACTTTTACGCTGCAACAAATACATCGTAGGTCACGTTGCTCAGAGGCAGACTGCACCGAACCTGCAAGTCGTGCCACTGCGAACATTGTGAAAATACCGAAAAGATAATCGATCTTGAGACGCGATTATAGACAGCCAGAATTGGACGAATCATGAAGTGATATTTGCATTTGTGCCATCATACGTGTTTATAACTAAATCCTTATATATTTTACAGTTATATATTTTAATATTTTTTTGCATTTTAACTAAATTACAGTAGAATATACTCTTTAAAATAAACTGCGACGTAAAAACTCGATAAGACAACATAATTTATGGTAATTGCGTTTTACATTGTAATTGACTGTCTTAATCGGAAAGCAATCATGCAACATTGTCGTGCTAGGCAATTAGTGATCTGCGTGTTGACTTCTATAAAATGTATACTTGTCGAAAACCAGTCCGAGCAGTTTAATATGAAAGCGTTTCTCGTCGAGATGTCATGTGCAACGCCCTTGTACGTACAATTTAAAGGTAATGACAGTAAAAAAAGACACGTCAAGTTCATTTCCTGCTGATAGTTCTTATACAATCTCTACGCAAAATAGAGCGGAGACAGGAACGCGCCTTGACATCATAACTACTCCATTCGATTTGTATCGCAAATCTACGCAAATGAGAAGGAATCGTTTTTTTTTCTGTACGACGAGGAATGTGAAGTAGGAAACTACTGATCAAACGACATTTGTAACATATTGAAAGATTTAGTGAAAAGATACCTACTATATTATTTCTTGAACAAGTCAATTCCAAATTTGTTAATTTATTCAAATAAATACATATGCTTTGTATTTATTCGTGTCATTCCAAGATATAATATGTTAAAAAAAGATATATGTTACGTCTTAAAAAATAAACCAGAAAGAATTTCATGAATTTTTTTTACAATAATTTACATATTTTTTCTGACAAAGGAATCATACTATAAATAAACTACTTCATCAAGCAGAATCATTCTGATAATAATCAATTGAATACAGATGATTTAAAAAATAAAAAAATCTATATCACAAATATAAATTATTTTTAAGGATGTATTATACAGTTACTGTAAAGCAAATTAAAATTGGAAATGTGCTAATATTTATCCTATGAATCGTATGCATATAAAAGTTGTATAAATATTCATTCATGACTTTGTTTAACAACACGTTCTTATTTTTATTATTTACTTTATTTATATGCTTACTTTATTTGTCATAAAAGATTAAAATTATCAAGATACGGACGATTTTCTTGTTTCGACTGTTGAAAGACAATATCTATGAGTTTACTTTCGACTTGATTGACAATAAATTGACCAATTGACTATATGGCTTTCTGTATTATTATTGTAATTAATTTGTTAATGTTCATGTAATTATGTATGATTGAAAAGGACTTCGTATAAGTCGAAACGTTTCATATTTAATTTTTAATTTTAATTTTAATTTTCAATGTATAGAATTTAATAAATATTGTCAACTTAATTCCGCTTGTTTCATAATACCGTTAATTTAATATCGTAATTTGTTGTTAATTAAAATTATTTTAAACAATAATAACAAAAATATCAATTTTTTAATATAAATATATTTATATTAAAAAATTGATATTTAATACTTTAAGTATTCAAAATGGTTTATGCAAAATTTCATCGATAAAGTAAACATAGATTCTTAAATTAATTTAAAATAATCTCGAATACTTTTGTGGATTTCAGCATGACGTGCAAATAAATTATGACTCTAAAAAATTTACGATATATATGTACATTATAGATATATTTATTACCAAATTTTTATTATCAACAGTGAAATATTTCTGTTCCTGTACTGTAGTGTGATTAGTGTCGTAACAGAACGCGAAGAAAGTGATATCGTGTATCGCCGAAGAAAGTGAGACTGTAGTATGGTGAAGAAAGTGAAACGTTTGGACAAGGTTTGAACAAAAAAATTGAAAGTGAGCGACGAGGTCATGGAGAGATAACATGATGAAATCTTTCCGTGAAGAGACGGGACGTTTATGATGACGTGCGCGGAATAGATTGCGAATGCGTAAATATTTGGTAACAAAGCACAAACTTCAAAGCTGAGATATTTCTAATTATTGTAAAGAGAAAGCGAAAGGACGTTGTCTCATGCATTATTCTCTGATTTCTATCGCGTTTTTGTTTATCGACATATGAACAATAAGCGTTAGAATTTCTCACGGGAATTACCTTTACCTGTTGCTCGACGTTTTAATTAATAAACTGACGGTATATAAATCTTACAGTGGAAGAAAAGATTAACTGCTGCAGCAAATTAGATGGTAAAATATAGCGTAGCATTTTTAATTGGCTGCAGCAGCCAATTTTTGGTTGTGTTAGCCTATCAAAATCCTATATTGACATTGCGAATATTTTATCATCTAATATGCTGCAGCAATTTATCTTTTTTTTCCAGTGTAAGAATGTGTGAGAAAGAGAGAGAGAGAGAGAGAGATTTGTAATAATATATCTATATATCAAGTAGTACTATCGAATAATTAGGTGATTATTTAATATTACAAAAGCCTTAATAAGACAATAAAGTGAATTTATAATTTATAAAGATTGTTTTGAATGATAAATTAAAAGCAATTTTTGGGAAAAGATTTAAAAATACAAGATTTATGGATAAAAGCTATAATAAGATAACAAGATAAATTTCTAGTTTATGTAGATTATTATGAAGGATAAATTAAAAGCAATTTTTTTTTAAACGATCGCTTATTATTTCTGAATTTTTTTAGATATCTCAATCTTGAGCTTGTCTTTTGTCAATTATTTTAGGTATCTCTCCTAACTTTCGTTTTAGCAACTTTTTGCTAGAACAGAATTATTGACAACCTAAGAGAATAACTAAAATGTGATAATTTTGTGAACACTCGAATGCATCATGAAACATAATCAATAATGGCTATTTAACAATAAATAGAAAATCAACACAACGACATTTCATTTACTACTACTACTATAACGAATTATTTGTGTCTGTGAGAACATATGTATATTAATTTCAATCTAATAACACGTTGCAAGCTAATATAATAACAAGACGACAAGTGCGTTTTTGTGATTAATATGTACAAAGTCATAGTTTACTTAAAACACATGCACGCCTTTCTTATTTAGCGCCACTTTAGCGCGCCATTACATTATTATTTTATTGGTAGTAACTATATCGTGTGGATGCTCCACGCTGACTCACTTGTATCCGGTGAGGATATTCAAGAGCGTTGACTTTCCAGCGCCTGAAGGGCCCATAATAGCCGTTAGCTCGCTGGACCGCAATCTGCCGCTGACGGATTTGAGGATTGTTTTCGAATCTGAAATAAAATTGAACCTTTAGATTCATGAAAACTGAAGAGTGAACACTTAATTTAAGGATAAATCTTAATGTTTTCTATTTATCAATATACACTGTTAAAAATAAAATGCTAATTTTAACTTAATAAAGACGTATGAACTTTTGAGGCATGCAAAAATGTTACAATTAATATTTTATTTTTAATAATAGTTCCAATAAACAAGTACAAGTATTTTGTATTTACACAAGAAGAATTAAAAAGAAAAATATGAGATAATTATTATCTTTTAACAAATATTTTTAATGCAAATGTGCACAATAACTCAATTAGTGAGGAACAAAGATAAAAGATGTTTATTTATTTGATCAGTATATTTATTTATAGATTAAGATATGTATATGGTGAAAAAAAATTATAACACGTATGCATTTATGATGGCAGAAATAATTAAGATATTCATAGCCCGTTCTTTTTTTAGGAAATGTCTTAAGATGCTAATGTACTCTTTCGATTAGTTTATAATATCTTAAGATTGTACTTAATATAGTCTCAAATATAAGAATTGACTACAAATACCAGGCTACATGTATTAGTGACATTTGTAATGAGATTTAGAGATTAATCAGAATTCAATATTTTTTATGCGATCGTCAGTTAACCGTTGACCATTGTACTGAGATGGCATATTTCATTTTTGCTTTTCTCTATGTAAAATCGACTACTAATACATGTATATCTCATGAGATATCAAACAAAGAGAGTAGGACAAAGTCCAAGATAAATATCCTCGTACGCATTAAATTGTATTCGTACATAACCAATCAGTTTATGTGATTCACACATATAGACGCAAGGCCGGAAGAAGGACTTTAATTAATGAATCCGCTGCAACGTAGAAAGCTAAATCGTTGTGTTATTTGATTATTTCCCCAGCTCGGTTGAAATTTCAATTATTCAGCAATTTATATAATAATAAGAGAAATTAAGCGATCAAGAAAACGATAAAAATTATTGATGACAATTAAATGGATTTATGTATAATTTGTATATTTTTATTCGTAATTAATTATATAAGGATTCAGCTTGGCATCATAATTTTCTACGTGTTATTTTTTTAGCATATTCAGAAATACGAATCACTGTGCATATTTTATTTCATATTTTATTTTATTGCCTGATTAAGCAGATTATACGTAGAACAGGTATTAATTAAATGCATCAGTTTTATTTGAAGCCTGAATCGATGGCAAAAAAATTTATCTGCGTATTTGTAAACAAATATTTTTCTCTTATCGTATTAAATAAATACAAACAATTTATTTGTACCAATAAAATATATAAAACTATTGCGATATTTTTTTTTTTCTTGAAAAGTGAGAATTTCGTTCCAATTTCATTAAAAGTTCTTCTAATTCTTTTATAATTAATTTATTTTATTTTACTTGTTATTCAATCGAAGAAACACGTTTTTCTGTCAGCTAAAGAAAATAAAATGAATTGCTCTTCAACGCGAAGCAATTAGTGTAATTTTATATCAATTTCGATATGCAGAAAGAGTTTCTTATTCCTGCGAATATATATGTATATACACTGATAGATAAAAAATTTATGTGAAATAAAGAGAAAAAATGTTTATCGTATATAAAAAAAAATCTATCTGACTTGATGCACGTAAGAAACGATACGTTAAGATTGTTTTACCATTGTCGAATGTCGTATAGCTTGACCTCCTGGCTTTATAGCTCTCGATTTCACATTCTTATTTCAAAGTCGTGAGTAGAGAGAAGTAGATATAACAGTCTAAAAGGTGCTTTAGCAATTGTGGTTCACTAAGTAGAAATACTTGATTTAAAGTTAAGTTACTTTTGCTACATACACATTTATTCCATCGAAAAAGACAATGAAACCGAGTCAATGTATTGTTGACCGCAAAACTTTGCATATTGTTTCCCACGTCACGGTCTGCATAATCAGCGAAACAATAGACTGTACGATGTCCGACAAAACGTAATTCTCTTAAAACGTAGTTCTTTGTTCTTCAATTTTAAAATCTTACTATATTTATATATATATACAAATACTACGAAAGTAAAATAAAATATTTAAAAAATGTATTGTACAAAATTTTTAGCTGCATATACAAAATAAAAATCCGATACTTTTTGACTATTATAATATACATTATAATCTAAAAATTTATTTTATAAGTACACTTTTTCCATTTATGAAGAGTTATTTAAAAATCGTTTTAGTTTCTGTGAGACTTCCAAAAGCGTCGCAAAAAATGTTTTATCCATTAATAGTTTTTAATTATTTACAGAAAAAAACAGTTTTGCTGAAGTATTAAAAAATTTAGTTAAGTGCAGATCTGAAAACAATTTTATCAAAATAATTATGGAAGGCACTCAAGCTGATATCAAAATATTTTGCAGTATTGTTCATCATGTATATAAATACATTTGAGTTTTCTACATTATTTTGATGGTTTGACGAAATTATTTTCATATCTATATCTAGTTAAATTTTTAGCTACTTCAACAAAATTGTTCCTTCCGCAAGAAAAAATGTAGTGTTTACTTTCATTCAACTGATTATACGGACAAGGTATTTCGTACGAAAGTAACAGTGAAATATTCGCTTAAAGACACATTCCACATGTGTTGTTTTGCTGTTACGTATGCACGCAAGTGGCAATTTAACATTCTCTGAGCAAGATAAACACCATCGTTGTTACGTACCTATGTCATTCATATCCTCCACCTGGCTATTTTAGTAGCTCACTATACATATACAAATATTTGAAAGCGAAACATGAAGATGCATAAAATCCGAAATAAAATCGTAATGATACAATAAAATACTAGTATTTTAATTTCAAGGCGAACTGGTTCCATTACGCTTTTACGTATGAATACGTACGTGCCAGGACAGTGCCCGAGAATTCTTCGATTCAGATCAAAAACGGACCGTATGTAAATCTCTAACTGTCATACGCAAATATAATATAGTTCCGGATTCTTTGCATTAAATAGTATACAAATTTATTATAAACGATGACGTTTCTTTATCATTGACATATTTTTACTTTTCAGGAACGATCAATTTATACACGGAAAGAACTATCTTACTGAAGTGTATCTAGAAATTTAATTAGATATTTAATTAGATAAATTTAAAAATAACTTTATTGAGCCATTAAAATAATTATGTAGAAAATGCGTACATAATGAACAATATTATGCAAAATTTTAACAATTTAGCAACAAGTTTGATGTCGCTACAATTAATTTAATAGTCTAATCAAATTATTTTTTTTAGACCTATTTAGTCAGATATTTTTAGATACTTTAGTTTTATAAAATCGTTCTTTTCGTTTGCGTTATTACGATTATCGTGCATATATCTAAAAATTTTTATAAATTCGCTTTATTTTGGACAAGATACAATTTATTTTTAATGAAGAATTAGATTAGTTAAAAAATAAATGTACAAAATTTTATCTTTTATTAATTACTATATTGTTTATTATTTTATAATATATGTATGTCAGTTTTTTTTGACCAGATATAGGCATTATTTCTTTCTAGGAAATCCGATAATGTTTCTCTTCGCACGGCTATCAATATAATAAACAGGAAACACGTGATTTCTAGAATATCCTGTATATTCTCTATATTTTTCTCGACGTAAAGTTAATGTGAAACCATTTATTATCTCATAAGATAATTTCACTTTGACAGTTTATCACCTAATGACGTTTTTACTGCTCGAGTGCACAATATTACGCGCGATCATATATAACTACTATAATAACTGCTATATACTTATACATATATACGGCACGATATTACATAATTGTTTTTTCATGAATCAATGTTACTCAATACATATATAAATACGATGTCATGGACACTACACTAATATCGCGGATCGTAAATTACTATGAATCTATTATAACTTGAATTTATCGTACCACTTATAACTGGGTCAAATAACAACTATTATTACAACTATTATTACCCTATTAAACAGAGAAATTTTGTGTAATGATATATATTTATATACCTCGAGTAATTTTTTTTGTAATTTGCAAGGAGGAATTGATAAATTAAATAGATAATAGGTAAGAGAGGAAAGGTTGTAACGTATTATGCTAATAGATAAATGAAGGATAGTTGAGTAAACTAGGATAAAGAGGAAATATGCACGAGAGCAGAGTATGGATGGATGTGTGAGGATAGATAGATAAACTGTAAACCAAGCCCCCTTCTTAGGCTTTGTATGCTTGAAGGTAATAAAGTTCTTTCTATTTATATACCTCGAATTATGCTGATTAATTAATTAAACTAGATATAATTAATAACTAAGTAAAAATAAGCTTATTTGTCAATCAGAACTAGATTTTATAATAGTACTTTTTGAATAATAATATTAATATTCTAAGAAAAATAGTCTGATTGGATTAAATAATAATTCTGATAAAAAATGAACAGATCAGAATTTTTTGGTTAAATCTACTAGAATTCTAGGTGATATATAACTGTAGAGAATTCTGATTGATATAATTATTCTAGTAAAAATAAAAATTCTAATAGATTTTACCTGAAATATTTCTATCTCTCTCTCAACTCGAAAGATCTCAACTAGAATTCTAATAATTAATCAAAAAATTCTGATTCCATTTTCAGAAATATTTTTCAGATTGTCGTTAAAAACCGTTAAGAGATGTAATTCTAATCTCGAACAGGCTTACCTACTTACATACAGTTAATTACGTATTTACATATTGGTTCATTCATTTATTAAGTATAATTAATGTTTCTATTTTTAAAATTTGTGCTCTTTAATTTTTACCGCGTTTTCTAGTTCAGTATTTCAGAGCACGACCATAATAAATACGTGAGTTCCGTTACCGCTTGAATAGAGAGCGATTTGTTTGAAGAAAAGGCAAAGTATGCAAAGTGTAAGTGCTGTCGACCCGATCTTTATTTCTCGAAAAGCGAACGTAGAAAGCAATG